AAAAAAAAAAAAAAAAAAAAAAAAAAAAGATATAAGATAAACTATAGATAATACGTAAACAAATGAACATTTATACACATTCATCTGGACACTGAAATTTGAATTTCATATAATTTTCACATCATAATATATCCTTCTTTTCAACCATTTAAAAATGTAAAAACTATTCTTAGCTTGTAGACCATACAAAAATATGCAGTGGGATAGATTTAACCTGTGGGCCAGAGTTTGCCAAACTGCTGGTGTAAAAAATTATATTCCAGGGTGGGCACGGTGGCTCAAGCCTGTAATCCCAGCACTTTGGGAGGCAGAGGCGGGCGGATCACAAGGTCAAGAGATCGAGACCATCCTGGCCAATATGGTGAAACCCCCGTCTCTACTAAAAATATTTAAAAAATTAGCTGGGCATGGTGGCGTGCGCCTGTAGTCCCAGCTACCTGGGAGGCTGAAGCAGGAGAATTGCTTGAGCCTGGGAGGTGGAGGTTGCAGTGAGCCGAGATCGCGCCACTGTACTCCAGCCTGGTGCCTGGCGACAGAGCGAGACTCTGTCTCAAAAAAAAAAAGAAAAATTATATTCCTAAAAGGTTTTCTCATGCCCAAATGTTCCTCACTTGTTTCTGAGATTAAACTGCTAATGCAGGTAGAGCAAAAATTATTAGCTCCATTTTGCAGAGAAGCAAAAAGTCTCAGTAAACTATAACGATACTCTAAGGATCATAGTTAATAAGAAATAGAGATGAGCTCTAACCCTCATCCCCAGGATTTTGGTACTCTTATCAAATCATGCTCTCAGGGAGACACTCACCTTTATGACAAATTTTTAAAAAGCTATCAGCTCCTGGCTATGTAAACCCAAGGGAAGGAACTGCTCCCACACATAAAGCAAGAGCTCTCGTAACTGGGGACTTACTAGCAGCACTCTGTCTCTCCGATGCTTAGGGTTCATTTGTATTTACTATGAGAGAGAAATCCAGCTCTGAAGTTCCCAGCAAGGCCCTGTCCCCAGAAACGGCCCCCGGGGGCTTTGAACCTCCACTGAAAGCCCTTATGGCACCCCCATAGTGCATCTGGCATACCCCAGGTCATGGCCACTGGCCTCTGATGAGTTTTCTATCATTATGTGTCCCAAGTGAGAAATAAAAAGAGAGACAAGTGAAAGTGAACTGTGAAGTATGGGTCTGTGCCTCACCTATACTCAAGAGACCTGAATTCCTCCCTTGATATGCTGTTTACAGTCTGGATATTATATTATACGCCACATTAACTGAGGGGCCCTAGGCATGGCCCCATGATTTGAATACCAACTTCTTGGATCTAGTCCTCTGAGTCATAAAAAATGGTACAGTTTTCATTCAATTGAGAAGTTATTTTACATTCAAAAGTAACTGTTTTTTAGAAATTAAAATCACCAGGCCGGGCGTGGTGGCTCACCTCTGTAATCCTAGCACTTTGGGAGGCCGAGGTGGGCAGGTCACCTGAGGTCAGGAGTTCGAGACCAGC